AGAGTGTATACACTTACGCCATTGTGATCGATTCTGAGCCATGTCACACAGAGTCTCCAACCATTGCTTACGATAGTCACGCGGACCCCAATCAAGTAGTCTGCATCTGCCAACAACATAGCTCAGACTACAAGTTAGTGACTTCAATGACTGATGCCACGTTATGGTTTGGCCGCCTCTAGCTTTCTTCCATCTGTTTCAAACACTAATCAGCATTGCTCGTCGCGGTTTTCGGTGTTCAGACATACGTAACACGTGAACCAACCATCTCAGTCGATGAACATTCACAACCTCATCGACTGATTGACCATCATTCCCTAATACCCTGCGTCGAACCTCATTATCACTTACCCGGTGATCCCAGCAGATGCGAGCAATATTTCTGAGACATCTGTGGTCAAATACTAGTAGCTTACAAATATCCTCTACTCTTAATGGCCATGTTTCACTGCCATAAATTAAAACAGAACGGACTGCCGCGCAGTATACTCGTCCTTTTATTGACAGATGGATATCTCGCCTTTGCCATAGGTGACGTAAGTTGGCAAAAGCCAAACGAGCTTTTCGAATCCGTGCTGAGATTTCGTCAGGCACCAACCCATTAGGGTTGATCAGACTTCCAACATAAGTGAAGTTGTCAAAGCGTTCGACGACTTCACTCTTTTTATCTTTAGTTCAGGTGTTGACGCAGACCAGTCCTGAAGCAACAACTTGCATTTAGAGGGACACAAGCGCATCCATAACATTCTGGCATTGTTGCTTAATGCTACCAAAAGACTCTGCATTTTATTAGAGTCTTCACCAAACAGGACAATGTCATCTGCGTATTTTAAGTCGATAAGTGAACATCCTGGTACGACATCAATGCCCGAAAATTCAGTCCACAAAAGCGTTATTTCCATCAGTACGTTTAGGATGAGATTAAATAGAAATGAAGATAGTAGACAGCCCTGCCCGATACCACTTGAGGTTGCAAAATCAGATGACAGTTCGCCATCAGTTCTGACACGACTGGTAGTGTCCGAGTAAAGAGCCTTCACAAGGTTTATGTAATTCTCAGGTACACCTTTCAATGAAAGACACTGCCACAGAATCTCGCGGTCTACGGAGTCAAGTGCTGCTTTAAGTCAAGAAAGACCACCATTGGCGGACGCCGATAAGTATGCCTGTGTTCTAGAACCTGAAGAATGGTGAATGTGGTCGATGCAGTGACAACCATGTCTGAAGCCAGCTTGATTTCCTCGTGTTTGCAGTTCACGAGTCTTAGTTAGGTGTCTGATGATTATCGAGGCTCGTATTTTAGATACTATATCATTTAAACTAATCCCTCTATGGTTGTCACAGGATGATTTTGACCCCTTCTTATATATTGGGACGATCAGTGATTGTGACCAGTCAGATGAGATAACGTCCAACTCCCAGATTTTAACTAAAATGTTAATCAAGCTAATCGCTAAAATTGGACCACCATCCTTAAAGACTTTTGGAGTTAATCCATCTGGACCAGCTACTCTTCCTCGTTTCAGATTGGTTATAGCCTTTTGAAATTTAATTAAATTCGGAGTGTCTATTTCAATGTTCCATTCAGACTGTTTGGAAATGGTGGATAGCTGTAGTTGTAGAGTATCTGAAGACCAGCTGAACTGCTTCTTAAAGTGTTCCTCCCATCGTTCTAACCGTCTGAATTGAGAGTAGATAAGTATGATCCTTTTTTCGAAATTGTCTCATTTACACTTAACTTTTTATTACGGTTTGTCTTATTAGTCTGAAAAGCTGTCCAGTGTTACGTGCAGCCACTGTCTTTTCCATCTTTTTTGCTTTCGTTGCCCACCACTACTCACTATTGTTCTGTAACTTTTGGTTTAGGTAGATGTGATTTGTTTTCGCTCTTCATCGTGCTTGGAGCATGATGGGTGATGAGTTTACGTGAATCTACGCGTTCAATGGACTTAGTAGAAATGCACTGATTTTTCGTAATCCTTTGATTCAAATTACTAGTAGATGTGGGTTCTGTTTCTACAACTGTTTGTATATGATTTCAAGCAACATCTGGGTCAGCCTCGTTTTCAGAACTGCTTGGGTGTGACCTCATTTGTTCATGAAATTTATCTTCGGCTTTCTTATCGCTGAGTTTCACTCTAATGGGTCTTAATGTGGTTTTTCTGCGTTCAGTGAGGTGAAAGCAAATGCGTGTTCGTGTTAGAGCATGATCAGAGTCTAAACATGTAATCCAGAACGAGTGCAAGTCTTCGATTGAGCCTTTCCAATGTGTAGTTTGGAGCGAGGTCTCAGTAGACGTGAGACATTGTTTCGCGCACTAGAATCCTTGGTCATGGTGACAATTGAGGGGGGAGTCAAAAGAGGAAGTTTAGAGTTGAAAGTCGACCTAGGAGGAATAATAAGAACTGAAGAGTGAGGTTGGTTATGAGTACAGTGGTCTTGAGTGCTATTAGCCGTATGAGGGCGGTTATCACTTCCCGGTTAACCACACCGTGGAAAGGTTCTTCTGGAGGTACCTGAAAAGGAAACTGGATTAGAGGTGGTCTTATTAATCTGAGATCGTGACCGCAGTGCTCGTGGGACAACTGCTTGAGGTCGGTCACACACGACCTTTTTGTGATTAATCTCAGTAATTGTTAGGATCTTGTGGAACAATTGTTCTGGCCAGTATAGCTCTATTGGTTTATCCCGATTGGCAAGCCCGATCACCACATCAATGTAGCAACAATGGTCGCGGGATAAAGCTAACATATATTACCGGATCACCTGCAGGGTCTAATATGTTTTGGCCAATCTAGAATCCCTAATTATGAATCAATAAGTTACAATGTGAAATTAAACAGGTCATGAAGGATATACATATATGATCACTACAGGGTTATTGAGCATTTCTAGGTACCTAATCGCTAGAGTGTGGTTTAAAAATGATGTTGACGGTTAGAATTTAGGGTTAGTTTCTCCGTTACATTTTTCTTTATTCTATACTTAATATTAACTTGAATCATACTCTTAATCTTAAATCAAATCGAAACTCAATTGTAATCCTAGTTCGAAGTCCAACCTCAATTCCCTAGTAACCTAATGTTTTGCAAGCAATTTATCGATTATTAAATTCAACTGATGTTCAGAATTATAAACATGACGTAACAAGATTCTTTTGAATTTACCTCTAACTGATTGATTGCTTATTATTAAATAACACAGTGTTTTAACTTATTTAGGGTAATTCCTTATCAAATACTTGTCTCTATGGTAGTTAATCAAGATTTCAATGTTAGTCTTTTGGATTTCACTTAGTCCACCCCCACCCCCACCCCCAACAAAATGGTATATAAGATTATGACAAAGTTTATTAGCTTAGAGTTAATAGATTATTCAATTTATCAACTATTTTGATTGGATTTTTCTCTTCTCAACTGATTAACAATTCAATATAAGAAGGGATTTTTGTGGATGTCATTAGTAATTTTAATAGTTGAGATCAATTGAGTCAATTGAAGCTAGACCATAATGGAAAACTTGGAAGCACTGGATAGCCGTTTCGTCCTGCTGTGAAACTCCTCAACAGTGAGCGTCCACGGTCCCGCCACACGAGATTCCAACCCAGAACATATCAGTCTCGCGAGCGAACACTTAACCTCTAGACCACTGAGCTGTCCGGCATCCAATGGTGTTAATGTTTAACTTCAAGTAATCCACGGAATTGAGCGAGACATCCACATATATGAGCAGTTTTAGGTAATTGCAATCAAATTTCCAGTGAAAATCACGTTCTTACATCCAACACTTATCCATTTAATGGATGGATTTTTAAAAAAAGCACGAGACTGAACTTTTATTGAACATTGAAAAAGAATGATTATTCTCACACATATACAGTGAAATAAAAGGATTATATTGAAATAATCATTATCTTAATAGTTGAATTCATAAGTCGATCTAAGCACTGGATAGCCGTTTCATTCTACTATGTAACTCCTCATCAGTGCACATCTATGACCTCTCACGCAATCCTTAAACTATGAACCTTTAGTCTTGCGTTCAAATGCTTCACCTCTAGATCATTGAGTCAGTATCTGACAGTGTTGATGTCAACTTTAATCAATCCATGATCTTGCGCAATCATTCACCGATTGTCTGAAGTGGATACCTAATTCTGCCCCCAAATGCCCTGGTACGGCCGAGTGTGGGAGAGTTAGCTCTCCCACTTGAAATGCTCTTACATGGCCAAGCGTATATAGCCTCTGCCAGGGAAGTCCAACTCACTGCCTTCTCAAACCACGGGTGTTGTTTATTAAATTGAGAGGACGAAAAGCGAATGTCCGATAGGAGCTTTAACCGGGTTGGTGGACATGGAGAATCTACCTAGGGGATTTGGAAAACCATTATTCCAAACCAATGGTGCACATAAGCTTCAGAATCCTGAGGGAACAAATGGCGTATGAACCAGTCGTTGGTCACCGGCTACCGTGGGACTGCATCTCCTTACGATGCTCCACTGCCTTGTGGATCAGACGTTTAGGTCGAAGGCTCCGGGTGTGGCCTCCTTAGAAAACCACCTGCTTCGGTTTGGGCACCCGGGCAGTATCCCAGCTCTCACACAAATCAAATGAGATTTGTGTGGCGCGTATGTATCGGGTGCGCCCCTTGTACCAATATCTGTGTGTTCAAATAATAATAATAATAAATAAATAAGATACGTGTCACTACCTGATACCGAGTGGATATGATATGATGGAAAGAAAAGTCAATTTTCGATCGATTTACTCATTATGAGTCTTATTCAACATTACTTCCCTTCTAATTCAATGTGATAATCATTTACTGTAGTAATTGTTTTCTTTTGTCGTATGATATTCTCTTCTGTATAATAAACGAGATATTCTTGTATTCCATTAACATAAACTATACTCAGTCTGTGATTTGTTATAACTGAGTAAGTGATCTATTCCTAATTATTAATCAAAATGGGTGTACAATGAATATATAAATGAGTGTATTTTAGACTATTTTGATCATCGTTCGTCGTCGTGTTTTGGGGCTAATAAATCATCACTTATACTAGTCTTGTGTTCTTACTTTCGCATCGTGGGAATTGCAGGGGTCCCTCGTTCCGAGTATAAGTGATCAGTGGCTCTTTTCCAGCACAACAATCAGAGACGATCGAACTTAACAGGATACCACTGATCATGGCTTCACACTGTTTATTGTTGTTACATTTTAATCGTATGATATAATTTGACTTATAATTTACAAATCAAATGGAAAAATTATCATAATCATTTTCTTTGTTTTTTCTTCTTCTTATTATTCAATAAGTATTGGAAACAGAAAGAATAAAAGAAAACATACACACATATGTTGTTCCTAATCGAAATTGTTTTCTTTGTTTTTTTTATATAAATAGTTAATTACTTATGAAAAATAAATCCCTTAGTAACTGTTCTTCTTCTTCTTCTTCTTTTTCTTTTTCTAAATGTACTTCTGTTATATTTGACTTATGACAATCATGATCGATTGTATCATTCCATTGTTCATTTTGACAATTACTACTTGGATAAAACTGATGATCCTCCTCCTCCTCCTCATCTTCATCATCATCATAATAATAATGAGTATTAATATGATCATATTGTTCTTGTTCATTCGTTTGTTTAAAATATGGTTGATTGTTTCTGATGAATTGACTTTCTTGGTGATATGGTTTCGATAGAAATGTTCGTGTTTGTTTCATTAATTGATTATTATTATTCATGGTAATATTCAACTGTTTACATGTATCCTTTGAAGTGTATTGTTTACCATATGGATTCATTTTATTTTGTATTGAATTAGATAAGTGATTATCTTGGAATGTTTCATTCATTAATTGAATTATTGATTCTAATTCCTTATCTGAATTTATTTCAATGATAGATCCATTTGTTGTTGTTGTCGCTGTTGTTGTTGTCTTTGTCCTTGGATTAATTTACAAGGTGGTAAAGATTTACTAATCAATTCAATAAATCCAGTTTCTTTTTCATCATCTTCTGAAAGTGAAATTCTTGTTTTGTCTGCTGAAAAAAAAGGCATAAAAGATATCAGTGAAATTAGCCCACTTGTTAAGCCTTGTCGATTGGACACTATATTCGTTCCTAATCTATTCTGATAACTCGCACGCTAGAACTATACAGTGACCTGAACATCAGAAAGAAGACGCAAAAGTATGAGAGAGACACTTTACTCCAAGGCTCGTTATTGTATAGAAAACATGGGTATTTATAGATGTTAACGTTTGTTAAATGAACATCATATTTCGACCAATCCGTTAGCGATATATTATGCTACTGAACAATAGTAGCACGCCACGTTGGAATTCTAGAATGCCCCATCGTGCTCTGATTGGCTAGGACTCTTCGGTTCCTTTTGGGCCTCTGGAGGCTCCGTTAAAGTTTTTCAAAAGTCGACTCAACACCACTCTCTCTTACTTTCAATGAATAAAAATGTTATATCTAGAGTTTAGATTCGAAATATGCCGCGTATAATTTGAGCACTCGAACGCTAGAACACTGTCAAGTTGAAAATGAGAAGATAGAAGACAAATGAAAGGAATGTTATTCCTAATACTGTCAGTTATGGTACAAAACTGTCAGGTATTTATAGTTCTGAGTAAAAACGAAATTATCATTGTAGTTAATCAATCCACACACACACAGGGGGTTATTAGCATCTGTCCAATAGGGAAGTTACACGTAGGAATTCTGGAATATTTTTCCAAAAGATGATTGGATGGAATATATTCGGCTCTTTCTGAGCTTGTTCAAGTTTCCTCGAGTTCACCCGTGGACTTTTCTCACAAAAAATTATTTATTCAGAATTTACCATATACAAATTAGTCCATTTAAAATTAAGAAATTGGTTTATATCATAAGCACCATTATGAAGTTGTACAGTTTTAAATTCATAGATTCTTGGCTACTGAATTAATAAACTAATATCAAATTGAAGTTTAACGTAACGTTATATCACTTGCTTTAGTAGATATAGTACATGCATTAGATGATAGACTATGAATCAGTAGTTAAGATTACATCCCAGTAATTATTTACCATCTGGTAACTAATTCACATATTCAATGTAGATAATAAGAGAGAGAGAGAAATTGACAACAGCTTCCTGTAATACGAAACTATTTGACCTAAAAAAAGACTTATAAAAGTTTTAGATGTGTCAATAATCATGTGTACCTTGATATAAGACACATGATTGATTTTGTGTTTCAATCTATCTAAACCTATAAGATCAAAAAATTGAACTAGTTTAGATCAATTGTCATATTCTATCATTATCCATTCGATATTATTCACTTTTAAATATCAGGTACAAATTTGTATAAAATTATATGTTAGGGATGAATTTAAAACAACTGCAATCAATTTCCAAAAAGTTCTTAACCATTCCCAAGCACCTCAAGGGTGTATTTCCTTATTTCTGCAGCAATTTGGAAGACACTATCCCAGTCTCCCACATTGTAAGAGCATTCTATGTACCTAAATAAATGGTTGCTCTGATTATCAAAGGGGCATGAGCTTCGTGACTTCCGAAGGAACTCGGCTTTTATCACGAGGCGTCATAACTCTTCTAAATGAAGATCTTCTGACTCCCAAGGCAGAATTTTAATGGTTTAAATAATCTTTTGTGGTTAGCGTTTTTTTTAGTAAGTTGGTTTCCTACGGGATGGTGTCGCTTACCCCATGCCCAACCCTCCTCCTTTATTCGGGCTTGGGACCGGTAGTAACCTCAGATGGGCTCCAGGCGGAGTTATCCAGACACTATCAGCAACAACTTACTGTGGGAGAGAACAAACCAAATTCCAGTGAAGGAGGAAATCAGGAAGAAGCAATGGAAGTGGATAGGACACACATTGAGGAACGCATCCAACTGCGTCACAAGACAATCCCTCACATGGAATCCTCAAGGTCAAAGGAAAAGAGGAAGACCAAAGAAAACATTACTCCGAGAAATGCAGACAGATATGAGAGGAATGAACAAAATTGGATGGAGCAAGAAAAAAAGGCCTAGGATAGAGTGGTTTGGAGAATGCTGGTCAGCGGCCTATGCTCCATTGGGAGTAACAGGCACAAGTGAGTAACTTAGTTAGTTAGCTAGTTATTTTTAAGCATTCAGAAAAAAATCCGTTTATTAATGGATAGTCCATGGAAAAAGGAAACACTAATATTGCAAATCGCAAACCGATTTTACTTCATTCTATTATTCATAAATAGGCTACTCTGTTTCTATATCGAAAAAAGAAATGATGACATATAAACTTGTACTTATGGATATAGATAGAGAGATGGGAAATCGGTCATTTACAAAAGGACTTTTAATTTCATCCGATGTTTGATGAAATGTTCTGTTGTTTCAAGAAGCTTCAAATGATCAAATGTTGTCCAACTTGAATAGATTTTGTGAACATCAGTGAAATACGGTTGTTAGTTAGCTGTGTTGTAGAAGTCAATAAAGTGTTTGAAGATAAACATTCTAACTGATCTCGTTTCATACTTGTGGAAAGAATTCGAGATGAATTATTGTTTGGTTGGTGAAAGTCAACCGTATCTCCAACCGAAACATCTTTCATCATAGCAAGATTGTGCAACAATCATTGCTTCATTCATAGTCTGTTGTGTATGTATTCGTGGTATTGTTTCTAACTAGGGTTAGGTGTTTAAGATAAAACTTAGGGATTTTAATCACTCATTAACATCAATTATAATGTCAAATTGTTCTGAGTGTTGATAAATTTTACTCAAAAAAAAAATACAAGAATCATTGTCTGATTAGTTCAATCATAAAATGTTATGTCATCAGGATTTTGGGATAGTGTAAATTAGCTTGTAAATTATCTATAGAGACTAAATCCTACAATTTAGTAAGTTTAATATTCAACCACTGAAGTCTAGGGTAATTACCACTAAGCCAGGATACATACAGTTCAGCACGAAGCCAGATGTATGCATCATTAAGTTTAATACTATCATACATCATTTCTTATTATCATTTTGAAAGTTTTCAGACTTACATGATAATTTTACTGTTTGTTATTACAAAGAAATTGAATTTCATGTAAAAACCTTCAAGTCACTTTTTCAATCCTGATTAGCGCGATCTCAAAAGTATACCATTGACCTAAACTTGAATCATATGATATCACAATGGTAAATTTCAACAAACTATTTCTGCGATGTATACTACTTATGTTCGTCAACAGACATAAGTAGTATGTAACATCAACTGGAAATGAAAAAACTTGGCAATAAAATGCCAAGAAGATCAAATTGAAGAGAATAGAAGAGAAAATAGAAACGAATTATGAATTGGATAAATCATACAGAATATGAAGGACAAATGATGAAGTTTTACGAATGAAGTATACGATGTATATTTCTTATATTTTACTAAGATGGTCTGTAACACAAACAGTCGTCCCTGTTGTGTCTTAAAACCCATCTTTTTATTACGTGATTTATTTGCCAATCGAAATACGACTTATTCAATCTTATTACTGTACTAAACCAATGACGTTCGTTCGGTATGAGCGGCCTACCGTTCTTATTGGTCTTTTGTTCGCCTAGCCCCATCCACTTGAGTCCAGAACCCCAATAACAGCTTCTACTATGCAATTCGTGTAATTCAAACATACTTGGTTTATATATCAGCCAAAAAGACTACATCACAGCATAAAATAGGAAATAACATCGATACAAGATCAAGCCAAAAAGTGACTGTGAATGTGGGGTGACGGTAATTAATAAACTGAACATAACTTAAGAATAGTAAATCGAATAATAATGATCTATAGATTAAAATGAAGCTTATAATAAGAGAAATATGAATATATTAATAGCTCTCAGAATTTCAGTCAGTCAGCTACAACGTAGAACCAGGCACATATATGCGTCAGTTCAAGTTGCCATACCTCACCACATTAGCACAACAAGATGAAAACCCGATTCATAGAAGTAGTTAACTCAATGGTGGTAATATATAAAAGAAAGATTGCATATAACGATATAATACAAGAAGAAAGAATTAGTTGGTAGAAAGAAAGATATGAAGTGATTCTAATCTCTTAGTTTAAAGGAAGACAAAGTGTTAGATGGTGGTTGGAGGTAGTCAACAGAAAATCCTGTACCCAGGTTTCGTGCTGCTATGCACTCGTCAGTAAGATGTACTTGTGATCTTGAGGGGATTAGTACTCCTTGACGGATTCCATCTCGTGTCACTGAGCTTCACAGTCAGAGATGTTACCATTGGGCTATCCGGGCCGCGACCGAACACCTGTAGGACTGAAATTTAATCACAATTGATTGATCAATTGGTGGTGATCAATGTTATGTGTGTCAAGTCTTTCTTAGTGCAGATCGAATGCTATCGATCAAGTTGTAATGTGGCCACTAGTCAAGGTGATTCGACATTGCGTGCACTATGTTGAGATAAGGTGGTGTTTGGAGATAGTCAACAGGAAACCCTGGACCCGGGTTTCCGGCTCAACAGGATTCGATCTGAGCTAAGGAGGACTTGACACACATGACAATTATCACCACACAGTGATCAATCAATTGTGAAGTCAAAGAGTGTATACACATACGAGATTGTGATCGATTTTGAGCCATATCACCCAGAATCCTCAACCATTGATTAAGATAATCACGTGGACCCCAATCAAATAGTCTGCATATACCAGCCAACATGGCTCAAACTACAAGTTAGTGATTTCAACCATGAATGTCACGTTTTGGTTTGACCGCCTCATAATTAAATCTTCACTAAGATAATAACAGCCCCCAACTAATTTCTCATTTATTATGTATCTATCTTATTAATATCTATCTATCTACAGTAAATTCGATCATTTAACAAAAAAGGATTATTATAATATAAGAGATAGACAGATACTAAATAAAGAATAGTTAATTGATTTATTTATGCTATTCATGTCCTAAATTCAGATTTACCAGACTTTTTTTTCCATTATATCATAAATCACATCTATCCATCCATCCATCCATCCATC